TAAGTATGGCATACTGTTAATAACTTTGCTTGATTCTGTTGCTTAAACTGGGAATTGGTTGAGTCGATGGTAAGACTGATCAGCAACAACAGTTTTGTTGTCACCGTTGCTCAATATCTTTGAAAAGTAGCAGATGACTTTCAGAAAAAAAAAGTAAACTGTTTGCATTTGTCATTTTTATCTTCTGAACAAAGTGGAAAATCGGTATTGCAGAAACGAATGAGAAGAAAGTAAGAAAAAGAAAAACAAAAAAAAAAAAAAGAAGCAGAAGAACCGGAAATTTTTTGGGATGTAAAAGTTTGCCTTGTTTTTTTTTGTTTTGTTGTTATGCACTGTTTTAATTTGGTAATGTTAAAATTTTTTGTCTACTTCTTTCCTTTTTTTTTTTTTTTTTTTGCCACAATAAATTAAGCCATAAAAAAGGTTTCCTTTTTTTTCTCTTCTGTGTTCATCAAATATCACTTTCTTTGTATTATCATTATTCTTCATAATGTTTTGTAATTCTTATTGCAACTGTTGTGTATCAGTCTGCAGCAAAGCAACTTAACGACAACAACAAACAAAACAAAGCCTTTTATCTGCCTTTTTGTATTTTTAACATTTATATAATTTGACCACTTGTAAATAAAATATTTAATTAATTTGTGCTTTCAAAAAAAAACAAAACAAAACAGAACAAAACAAACAAAAAAGTTGGGAAAAATAAAAAAAAAAAACTAAACGATACTTTTTTGTTGCAAAAACAAATTTAGACTGTTCAAAAATTAATTATCACTAATAGTTTAACATCCAAAAACACAGATACGCATAATATTTAGCAGTAGTTTTTTTTTTGTGTGTGTGTTTGAGTACCTTCATAACCGTTATTCTTCAATAAATATTTATTATCTTTATTCAAAGAATAAAACCTGTAAACAACTTTATTGGTAAAAAAAAGGGCAAAAAGACTTTCTTCTGTTTACTATTTTTCATTTGCACAAAAAGAAAAAAAAAAAGCCACTTTCTTTCATTTATTTCTTTTTTCGTTTTCATTCTTCCACTTCTTTTTCTTCGCCTTCCATAAATACGAAAAAAAAAAAAGAAAAGAAAACTGAAAATAAAAACAAAAACAAATAACAATAATAACAGCAAAATTAGTCTTTCTTTCCCTTGATCACAGCAAGGATGTCATATTAAAACTTCAAAAAAAAAAAAAATTACAAAAAATATGTAGACAAGAAAGAAAAGTAGGGTAAAGGAGGCAACAGACAAAAGACCAAAAACTGGAAACTTACACAAGTTTCACTGTTTGCCGTCAAATAATATAACCAACAGTACGCAACAAATTGACATCCCAACAAAGACCCGTAATTGATGCAGAATACTTGACGGCAGTACAAAGACCAAAAATTAAGCTATACTGATCAGACAATGCTAAGAATCATTGAACAAAAACAATTTTTTTTTCCTACTTTTATCAACTGTTTAGATACTAACACTGAATATCTTCAGCAATATTTTGCCTACAACGTCATAACTATCTATCTAATTATCTATCTATCTGCCTAAGCGCTGGAAATAATCATAGTAATGACGATAACGATGACAATGAAGATGACGATGAATAGAAGCAGCGGTGATAACGATTATGAATGCAAAAGATAAATGATAGATGAATCCCTGACATATTTTGAGCCTATTTATGTGTAACAATTAAAAAAACCGCATAACTTTTTTTTTCAGATTCAAAATTTTACCAAATAAAAATATATTCAAAAAAAAAGTACACCTTAAAAATGTTCCTGTATAACAACTGAACAAAAGAAAAGCATTATTAAAACCCGAAAACTACATGAGATTTTTGTTTTTGGTTAAGTAATTGGCATTCTTCATTCAGTGCCATGATATGTACAATCGTTTCTGAAACCTTTGCCGTTCTGTATAACGTTACCTTACCATTTTATCAACCTTACCAACAGTGTTTTTTCACCACGCCTTATCAGCAGCTTACGAGTCTGAAATAGACAAATAAACAAAGTAAAACTATGCACAAAATCAAATTTATAAAAATATATAATGATTTTGTTTTAGCAGCAGTAAATACAAATATAGTTAAAAATAGATTCTAAATGTAACGGTATTTGCTGACTTTTTAACATTCCTTTCTTCTGATAAAAATACTACATCTGAGAATGCAATATTAAGAAAGATAACTTTTCAAGTCCAGGAAAAAAAAAA